GTATCGCTATTCCTAAAATATCCCACACAATATTTCTTATGACTTCTCCCTGTACTGGTATCAACACCATCAGCTTAGACCTGTTGTGCACTGGATCAAAAGTTTCTACAACGTACGAGCTCGCGAAGACCGGTATATACACCGATACGCTGATCACATAGCCAAAAAGCATAAAAAATGTAGACGTTTTTCTTGTAAACGTGTTTCTGAAATAAAATGGGAATGTAACGCACATGCATCGTGCCACCGATATAAAACTTGTGTTTAGAGCAACCACGGAAGAGAAGAGTATGACTAGATGAGTGAAGTATGTGGCGACGGTGTAGGGCTCTACCGGAAACCACGCATCAACCTTGACCTTGGCCACGTGCATCACGCCTAAAATACCTAAAGCAGAGAACACAACCGAGAAGTTAAAATCCGAAATCGATAGGATAAGAAACGAAACTGTCATGGCGTCTTTGAGTCCCATTACAATGTAGGTTCGGATGTTGATTATGTTGGTGATGATCCCGAAAGTTGAAACTACAACATACATAGCACAGCAAACCAACATTGAAAGAATATATTGATCAAACGAAAACGTTAAGGTTGCTTCCCGTGTGTTTTTCACCGTTGAATTCTCCATCATAGAATAAATTATCAAAATTTAAAGCATAATTTTATTTGAATGTTTGTGTAACTATTTATTTTGAATAAACACGCTTAGGTCTCTGCCTACTAAATAGTGTTTCTATTTAAATTTTTGTTAATATAAATGGTTGACTTATTTACTTATTTTGCTAGCAATCCTTTGTTGTATACTTAACATAAGCTTATATTTCCATTTATAATTGTATTATCAATATGGTAAACATATTTATTTTTTTAAGACGACCTAGTAGTCAAACTATCGAAGTCTGCCAACGATAATAATACACAATGAAACGTAACTTAATTATTATTCGCTCTAAATTATAAATTACGTAGCAATGTTGTTATCGTATTAGTTTTGGTCGGTGTATTGTAATTTGATGTAACTGTTGAGGAATTGTATTAATCTATTGTAGAACTCCGTTTTAATTTAGGATAAATGGTGGCATTAAAAAAAATATATTTCGTTTTAATTTTTAACCGTTTTATTTGAAATTTTATGTAATTGTAAATAATGTTTTTTTTTCCTTCTTTCAGCTATCATTAGAAATTTTAAGCTTAAACTATTACTTCACTGTTATTATGTGTCTTCAAAAAAATAAATATAATATGCTAGTGGTTAATTTAAAAAGAATGACGTCAATATTGCAACTATATCAAGTAATAGGCCAGCAATTTTCTATACGATATAAAAATTTTACAAAAATTATAATATGTATTTTTTTTAATTTTAAATATTTTAAATTTTTAATTTTAAATTTTAATATGCTAGATGCATATTGTATTTAATAATGTAAATATCTGGAACATTACCCAATTTAATACAACCTCGTGATTTTCCCAGGAAAAGATATGGATGTGCTGACTATTTCAATGGCAGTAGTTGAATTCACGTTATTATTCATTGTCTCTAAAAAATTTCATTTTCTAAATGAAAAGATGAACACATTTTTTGCGTTCAGTCAACAACAGACCCTACTTTATGCTCTGTATTTATTTTCCCGAATTTTGGAGTTGTACAATAAGGATCTGTTTGATAATGAATATGAATTTATGATTCATATGAAAACAATTGAAAGCAAATGTGAATTTGTTCGTGTCAAACCTTTTACAATGAAAATTGATTTCTTTATTTCAATAACTTAAAAATACTGTAAGACTTGCATTTGTTCTTAAATAAAAGAGCATGCTAGAGATATATGTAAATACCTGTGTACTTAGCATAAACTTGAGTATAGAACGGAGTTTTCTCTATTTCCCGGCTTTTCAATTCCTGCAGTTTTAGACTAGAGTTACTAAAATGTTGTTACAATTGTGTTATTAAAACAATTTACTTTTGTCACAACCAAATCGTTTGATAACAAATTATATCGCCTGTTGTAGAAAGGTAAAGAAATTAGCATAAAGGACAACGCATTTACTGGATTATAATGGAAATAATATTGCTATATATAGATTAATGTTATGCATCAATGGTAAAATACACTTGATTTAGTTGGTGTTTATATCTATTTTAAATTACAGTTAGACAGTAGCCTATTACTTTTATTCCACGTGTCACATCATTATTCATTCTTTGCTTGTACTTTTATAAATAGACGACAGTTGGAATAGTATGTTTAATTTTTTTTTAAATCTAAACATTTTAAAACAAGCAAACTTCATCATTTTTTTTTGTTTAGTGAATGTCAATGTATATGTAAACTTTAATCTCACAATTTAAAACTATGTGGAACTAATACGTTCGTTTCTGTTTACTTAATAAAACGGGGAGTGCTCTCCCCTTAGCTTTCTAGTAAATTCAAATAACCCCACCCTCACAACAACCAGTGGCGGAACTAGAAAAGAAAAAAAAAAAAAAAAAAAAAATATATATATATATATATATATATATATATATATATATATATATATATATATATATATATATATATATATATATATATATATATATATATATATATATAACACAAAATGCTAACATGGGGTACTTATTGCTGGCCTGTTCGGGTTTTGAAAAAAAAGTTTTTTGTTCAATTAAAACAAATTACAACAACATGTCATTATTTTCATGCGTGATTTGAAAGTATGATTTAGTTTATTTTGACTATACCAGGGGTCGGCAACCTGCGGCTCGCGAGCCGCATGCGGCTCTTTTGATGTTAAGTGGCGGCTCTCGAGTTCCATGCACACATATTAGAAATTATAGTATTTTTTTTTCAAAAACCATAACAAATTAAATACTGTAAAGAAACACAACTTTAAACATAATAAAAACACTAATCAGCGAATGAGAATAGGTGGGAATAGATAGAGAGTATTCGGACAGCTGACAGCAGCTTGGGCACCAAGCCCAGCCCCACAGCCGTGCAATGCTTGCCACATTACCGAGTGCGTGCCGACTTTTTCGAATATCGTTAAATGGAGAATGTTATTTTATTCAGAATGTATTTCCCCATCTGTCATTAATCATCAATTTGACTTGAGTGACGTAGTTTTTTAGTTATTAGCTTCCTTCTTTTCAGCAGGGACTGGACGGTGGGGTACGAGTTTACCTTGCGTTCAGTGTGGTGGAACAGCAGCTAGGTGAGAACCAAAGGACAAAAGTGATTGATACAGTAATCAAACCGATATCCTAGCCAGTTAGTCGGAGTTTGTCGTGTTGATTCCTACCTGTCTAATGGATGATGTGAGTAAAGAAAAAAAAAAAGTTAAGAGCCCCTAAAGTGGATTGGGATAGTCATATAGTTTTATTATTTGATAACTAAGTGTATAATTGCAGAGCTAGCTAAAATAATATAATTTGTTTTTACTTAATCCTAATGTTAGTGGCTCTTTAAAAACTGGAAAATTTTGTAAATTGTAAATTTTGGCTCTTCCGTCTCAAAAGGTTGCCGACACCTGGACTATATAAAAAAAAATATAATTCATGAAAGCTTTGCATAAGTAATGGTGTCTCGTGTTATGTTTATTTTTATGTTTTTTTGTATTTATATTATTAGTTTTAAATACATTTCCTTTTTATACAATGTCATTCTTTAGTAAGTAATTTATTAAAAAATAATAATTAAGATAATTTATTGCTTTTCAATTTGTTTAGTAAAAATCTATTAAAGGGAGCTTATGGGCACCCTTATTTGACTATTTAAAAAAGGGAAATAAGTCATGGAAGGGGTTTTAACGTTTGATTATCTTTGATAAGTTTGATTGTTGGAGAAAGAAGACTCGGCTTTCACAGTGATTTAAAAACAAAGGGAAAAAGAATATACAAGAGCTTGAGTTGGTGGCTATAGAATAAAGATAATCAAACCACAGCTACGGTAATCTTTTTACAAAACAACCATCAAGTCGAAAATGCAAGAAAATTAAAAACATTTTAACTATTATTTTTTTTTTACTATAGTCGTCTGTGGGTCCCTAAATGGCGTGCCCCCCCCCCCCCGAATTGGGGGGTCTGGCGGCACAGTAGTTCCGCCCCTGACAACAAGCCAACTTTTACATAATCTGACTGCTACATAATATGGCAAGGAATAAACTCCCTATAAACAGATAATGCCCGGCGTTGCTACAAATACAACGAAATGGGAAAATTATTAGAATTTTTTAAGAGAACAATAAAAGCTATGCAAACAGTAGATGAACGTGCATTACTTGCCCTGCTTTAGGATTGTATTAGCTTAGACACAGAATACATGTTAGTTTTTCATTCAACAACTTTATTGACCAACTTTATTGGACAACTTTATTGACCAACTTTATTGATGTCAAAGACAGACAAACATAGACAGATGTGTCAATTGGGCTTGTAAATCACCGACCTCTCGTATTTCGTACTTGCCAGCTGGCGGGCTATTTTTTTCAAACTAAATTTGAATATTTTTAATTAAATCGGTTAAAAAAATAATTATTTGGAATTATTACTTCCGCTATAGTTAATTTATTTAATTTTTTTTAATAATAGTTGCATTTTTTTTAACTTGGTGGTTTTTTTTTAATCTTGAAGCGATGCCTAGAAAAAAAATAGCCGCTGTGTTGTTGTTGTTTTTTATCAACGGGATCATGTTCGCAACAATTAAATTGGTTCGAAAATTTCTATCTCTTCCTGGCTAGCGAGGTTTTAAATTTTAAGTGAGAAAGACCGAGAATTACAAGCCTTGTGTTGACCAGAGTTTCTTCCATGGTTCGCCCCCCCCCCCCCCCCCCCACAGAAATATTTTTACCGCCCCCCGAACGAAATGAAATTTATTTAATTTATATAGAAAATATATACTTTTAACAGTGTCCGCCCCCCCCCCCCCGAAGAAAGTTTACCCCCCCCCCCCCGAAAATTTTAAGTGCCCCCCCCCCCCGGAGAAAAAAGTCTGGAAGAAACACTGGTGTTGACATCTACGAAGTATCTGGTTTTCGCACTTTCATCTCCACGGTGCTGACAGATTGGTAGAAGGAAGTCAGAGGGTACCAGGTGAGCCCTTCTCCATAGCGTGTGTTGCCCCACTGGCCGTTGATGTTCATGCTGTGGCAGCCCTTGTACCACCAACCACCGTGGTAGTAGTCGGCGCAGTTGTTGTTGTTGTGGTCGACGTCGTTGTCCCTGTCTATGGTGGTGAATCCGATCCCGCTGGCGTAACCGAATCGATCACTGGAGTTGCCCGTGTAAGGTCCGACCGTCATGAAGTACTGAGAGGCTTCGTTTTGGACTTGAAAGTTACTGTGCACGGCATAGTAGGATCCGCCTTGAAATGTCAAGTCAAATCTTATTTCAGTGTAGCCCTGTGTAACAAAAGAGACGTGTACGTGTATTACTAGGTCTTAGTATATTAGTCTTATTCATTTTATATGCAACGTTTATAGAACCATCCTAGAATTTTTTAAAAGAGTATGTCTCACATTGGTTGTTAGTTGATGAATCAGTTCGTTTCCTATCCAGAATTCACTGTCTAATGTGCCGAATCCGTTTTTGTAATCTGCCCAGTTTCTTTTGAAGTTCAATTGTCCATTAAATCGAATTATTATGTACCGTAATCAAAGAAGAATGCAAATTTCAGATCACTAAATCAAAGACAGTTTTTAAAAGACATTATATTTCTAATGTTGAATTATCATGTGTTTCGATTACTAATTAGCTTTATTTAAATTATACTTGAATAATGATCCACGCTCCGCCATCAGTTACTGTGTCACATAAAACAAGTTTTCCTCCGAATGATTTGAATAGTTCCTCTCTCTTCATACAAGGTGTCAGATACTTTTTTTCACAGGTTGGATGTTTGTTCTGAAATTAAATTTCGTTTTGAATTTTTAAACCAACATTGGGAAGAAGAAAAAAATAAAGGAATTTTTTTTTTTAACTCGATGGGGTGTGTGTCATTCGCTTTACAGATAGTTGCACTCCACGTTATTGAGAGGAGTGGTTTTAAAAGAGGGGTGGACTGGGTGGGTCGACGCGGTCCTTCCAGACTTAACTTTATGTATATTTTCATGTGTATCTTGGTCCACCCGGTGTTTTTCCTAGCGCCACAATGGGATTTTTTTTTCTTTCCGCATACCTGTATTTTTTTAATTCCTTTTTTATATTATTTTTTTTTTATTCCTTTCAACATACTGACATTTTTTTCTCTTTTCCGCATACCGGAATTTTTTTTTCCTTTCCGCATACGGGGATTTTTTTTTATTCCTTTCAGCATACTGACATTTTTTTCTCTTTTCTGCATACTGTGATTTATTTTCCTTTCCGCATACTGGGATTTTTTTTTTCCTTTCCGCATACGAGGATTTTTTTATTCCTTTCAGCATACTGACATTTTTTTTTCTCTCTTTCTGCATACTGTGATTTTTTTTTCCACATACTGGGATTTTTTTTCCTTTCCGCATACTGGTTTTTACTTTCTTGTAATCGTGCAAAAAAAATCGAGATTTTTACAAATCTCGACGTTTTACACCTGACTGATACAGAAAAACATAATTTTGCAATCTTGTCCGTATGTCTGTGTGTCTGTCTGTCTGTGTGTAAACACGATAACTTGAGTACCGTTACAGCTAGGTAGATGAAATTTCATATATAAGTATTTTATCAAAGTCGTAGATCCTGATCAACTTTTGAGCGATTTCCGATAACCGGAAGTGGTACTTTTTTTACTTTGAATTTTTCAAAAGCCTATAACTTGAGTGCTATTTCAGATAGATAAATGAAATTTCACATGTAAGTAAAACATCTAATTTTCCGCCTTCTATCAAATTTTGAGTAATTTCCGTTGACCAGAAGTACTAATTTACGCTATTTTCGATTTCTCAAAAAACGCATGTAAATTTATAAAGTACTAATAATATTGCGCACTATTATGCACATTTTGTTTTGGCGTTCGCTTGGTGCGCAATTCTTTTTTCTATGAGATTCTATTCTATTTTTAAAAGTTTAAGTAATTAAAAATCATGTCTATATTTCAAGTTATATAAGAAAATGCGAGAAAGTTTAGGGGAGATCACTCCCGGTTTATTTTTTATTTTTTTGTAGTGTCCCGGTGGACCCAGCACACCCCTGTTGAAAGTTGTGGGGTGATTTTGTGCGCTTGCTAACTTTTTTTTTTTTTTACAAACATCGTGAAAAATCAGCCGTCCGTGACCACAATTTACAGACAACAGCAAGCTGATAAAAAGAAGGATAATTCTTAATCTTGCTACCTTCTGTTATTGAATATAATAATATATCGAGTGATATAATTTTGTTATCTCCCCTTTGTTTCGAACCACTTAAATAATTTTTTAATAACTTAATAATCATCTAATTAAATTTAAAAAACAAATAGACTTGTATTGTCATCAAAGTGGAACGTATCTGGAAAGTTTTAATAAAATTGCTGCACTAGAAGTATGTCAAAATTGAGTTACAACCCCACAAACCCACAAATGAACAAAAAAACAGACGTTGCGAACTAAATAAAAGCCTGATAAAACGCACCGATCCGTGTTCAGTTCTACAATAGTGCCTGGAACTACAGCGCCCTGTCCTTATGGCTCTTGTATATCTGTTCTCTTTGAAGACGAAGAAAAAATTCAACATTAAATTGAGTTTGTACACTGTTTAATGTTTATTGTTTAATGTTCATTAATCATTGTTCATTGTTTGATCTTCTTTGTTTATTGTTTGATGTTCATTATTTAATGTTCATTGTTTAATGTTCATTGTTTAATAATCAATAATCATTGTTCATTGTTTGATCTTCTTTGTTTATTGTTTAATGTTCCTTGTTTAATGTTCCTTGTTTAATGTTCATTGTTTAATGTTCATTGTTTAATGTTCATTAATCATTGTTCATTATTTGATCTTCTTTGTTTATTGTCTGATGTTCATTGTTTTATGTTCATTCTTTAATGTTCATTGTTTAATGTTCATTGTTTAATGTTCATTGTGCAAGGCACATATATTTTTTTTACCAAATATACCTTACTTAGTAATCTTTTATATTTGTTCACGATTTGGACGGAATACAGCAGAAAATTTCAAGTTTGACAAAAGTTTTCTACAACATTGGTCAGTTTACGAGAGAACAGGGGCGTAGCGAGGGGGGGGGGGGGGCGGGGGGTGCGGACCGCACCGGGTGACACCATTTAGGGGGGTGACACCAAGGCAAAAAATAGGAAAATATAGAGATAAAAACTTGAGGGGGGTGCAAATCGAAAGTTTGAGGGGGGGGGGAGGTTCAAATAAAAAACTTGAGGGGGGGGGGTGCAAATCGAAAGTTTGAGGGGGGGGGGGGTGCAAATCAAAAACTTGAGGGGGGGGGTGCAAACCGAAAGTTTGAGGGGGGTGCAAATCGAAAACTTGAAAGTTTGTCCCCGGGAAGGGTCGCAACGCCTCTGGGGAGTGACACCATTAAGTGCCGCACCGGGTGACACCCGACCTCGCTACACCACTGCGAGAGAACACTTCAAGAAACATCAGTGTACAGATTTAGTTTGTGGTGCTTGATAAGTGTAAAATAAGTTTATTTAAAAGGTAAAAATATTAGATCTGCAAACAGAGAAAGTCTACTGAAATAAAGGCACCTAATGCGAAGTGTACTGAAACAAAGTCTCTAACACAAAGACAACTAATGCGAACTGTTCTGTAACAAAGACTAGTGAAAACAAAGACTACTGAAAACAAGACTACTGAAAGCAAAGAGTACTGAAAACAAAGACTACTTAAAACAAAGACTACTGAAAGCAAAGACTACTGAAAACAAAGACTACTGAAAACAAAGACTACTTAAAACAAAGACTACTGAAACAAAGGCTACTAAAACAAAGACTACTGAAACAAAGACTACTGAAAGCAAAGACTACTTAAAACAAAGACTACTGAAAACAAAGAGTACTGAGACAAAGACTACTTAAAACAAAGACTACTGAAACAAAGACTACTGAAACAAAGACTACTGAAACAAAGACTACTGAAACAAAGACTACTGAAACAAAGACTACTGAAAACAAAGATTACTGAGACAAAGACTACTTAAAACAAAGACTACTAAAACAAAGACTACTGAAACAAAGACTACTGAAACAAAGACTACTAAAACAAAGACTACTGAAACTAAGACTACTGAAACAAAGACTACTGAAAACAAAGACTACTTAAAACAAAGACTACTTAAAACAAAGACTACTGAAACAAAGACTACTAAAACAAAGACTACTGAAACAAAGACTACTGAATCAAAGACTACTGAAACAAAGACTACTGAAACAAAGACTACTGAAACAAAGACTACTAAAACAAAGACTACTGAAACAAAGACAAACCCGTATAGTTGTCTGTCTGTGCAGTGAAGATATGCTGAGACAGCAGTAAAACAGCAACCAGCAAACTTCTATAGTCCATGGTGGTGTTCGGCAGCCCTGTTAGGATTGTGTGCACCAATTCATGAGATGAATGTATGTACCGTGTGCATCAGTTAATGAAATTAATCTTAGTGTCGTGTGCACCAATTAATCTATATATATAATTCTCTTCTTCGAGCCGTTAAAAAACAAGCTGCAAACGCTCTCCCTACCTCCCCACCCCTACATGGTTTTAGTGAGCTGTGTTCACTCTAAATGTTTACAAGCAGAGCCAACGATTTTAAACGTAGGGGGGGGAGGGGGGGGGAAGGAAGGGGGGGGTTATGGTCCTTAACGAGCTACTTATAGTGTTTTAAAGAAATATTTTCAGTGTCAGCGTTGGTACTGTCGAATTCACAAATTATGAATTACTGAAAATTAGAAACAACTAAATAGCGGCGTATGTTATGCCGCGGGCCGGCTCGTTAGATGAAATTCTTACGTTGTGTTGAGTCTGTCTGTTAGGGCCGTGTGCACAAACTAATGAGATGATCATCCAGTCCGCCCTCTAGTGCCGTGTGCACCAACCAATCAGACGAGCGTCTTAACTACCTCAAGAGGCGTAGCGAGGGGGGGGGGCGGGGTGCGGACCGCACCGGGTGACACCATTTAGGGGGTGACACCAAGGCAAAAAATAGCATAATATATAGAGAAAAAATTGACGGGGGTGCAAATCGAAAATTGAAAGTTTGTCCCCGGGACGTGTCGCTACGCCTCTGGGGGGGGGGGGGGGGGGGGGGGGTGACACCATTAAGTGCCGCACCGGGTGACGCCCGACTTCGCTACGCCTCTGAATACCTCATCCTATGATTAGTCATCTGAGCAAGTGAAGTTTCTTAAAGCAATTTGTCTAAGCTCTGTTCAAATCAGGATTTCGTTTAATATCACTATCGATTTGTCTCATGCGATAGGTTGATGTAGATCTACAAGTAATTAGATATTCGACCCTGAAAAATGTCTAAACCTTGTACGAAATAGAATTTATACATAAAACGAAAAGTTTAGTCTTCCCCTCTCCCCCCCCCCCCCCCCCCCCGCCAAATGTCAAGTCAGCCTGTTCTTTTATAATCCTAAAAGTAAGTCCCCTTTTTTAAGCTGACGGTCTATGGGGCAATCGAAGTATAGTTCACCTGTTACTGTGACCTCGGTATATGAAAGGATAGTGTGTGTTCAGCACTATGCCCAGTCACCTTTGCTTTCCCTAACGTGAGTTAGGTACTTTCCAAGCTAAACCTAAACTTAAGCCTCATGAGATAAATCATGAGCCTAAACATACATGTATAATTCTCACCATAAACCTAAACTTAAGTCTCTCACGTCAGTTAAAATCTTCAACTCCATTTATTAAAACTATTTTTTATCATTAGCAATGTAAAAATCCTATTTTATTTTTTTTAGTCTAATTTAATTCAACAAATGACATTAACTTTTAACAATAATCATGTTTTTTAATGTATAGATTCCTCTTCAGACCTAGCGACCCACTGAGCAGATGAAGTAGAGTTTATATGTTTGTTGACGTCGGCATTTAAAGGGGTGTAGTCAGCACTATGCCCAGCCGCCTTAACCTTGATAAGTTAGGTACCTATTTGAGCTGAGTTGACTCAGGGACGTCCTACAATCTGAAATCGGAACAGAGATCCAAACAAACTCGAGACCTTCGAGCTAGCAACCAATCGCGGGCAAGCGTTGGTGCCTGGTCAGAGACAACATGTTTGAGTGCTATCGCACTGACCACAGCAAACAGTTTGAGCTCAACTTCCTACTCAGGCCATGTGTCGTGCGGCGAGCGTTGGCGGAGACAAACAGTGAACTGGGACTGATGATCATGGAAGGGGGGAGAGAGAAAATAACAGTTGAGGTACTGGAACCAATTTGTTTTCAATAATTAGATTGTTGATAGGGAAAAAATTAATTTATTGTCAATAATTTTAGATGGTTAGAGATGGTTAGAGAATTGAGAAAATAACAGTTGAGGTACTGGAACCTATTTGTTTTCAATAATTAGATTGTTGATAGGGAAAAAATTAATTTATTTTTAATAATTAGATTGTTGATAGGGAAAAAATTAATTTATTTTTAATAATTAGATTGTTGATAGGGAAAAAATTAATTTATTTTCAATAATTTTAGATGGTTAGAGATGGTTAGAGAATTGAGAAAATAACAGTTGAGGTACTGGAACCAATTTGTTTTCAATAATTAGATTGTTGATAGGGAAAAAATTAATTTATTGTCAATAATTTTAGATGGTTAGAGATGGTTAGAGAATTGAGAAAATAACAGTTGAGGTACTGGAACCTATTTGTTTTCAATAATTAGATTGTTGATAGGGAAAAAATTAATTTATTTTTAATAATTAGATTGTTGATAGGGAAAAAATTAATTTATTTTTAATAATTAGATTGTTGATAGGGAAAAAATTAATTTATTTTCAATAATTTTAGATGGTTAGAGATGGTTAGAGAATTGAGAAAATAACAGTTGAGGTACTGGAACCAATTTGTTTTCAACACTTAGATTGTTGATAGGGAAAAACTTAATTTATTGTCAATAATTTTAGATGGTTAGAGATGGTTAGAGAATTGAGAAAGTAAAAGTTGAGGTACTGGAACCAATTTATTTTCAACAATTAGATTGTTGATAGGGAAAATAACAGTCAGTAATTAAACTTAATTTATCATCAATAATTTGATGGTTATAAGGGGTCGGCATGGGTGAGTCGGTAAAAGCTCGTGTTTGCTAAACCAGAAAGTCTTGAGTTCAAACCCTTGGGCAGATGAGGCCTGTTAGCTGGGGACAGCGGCTCTTCTTGAAGAGACAACTCCAAAATCAAACAACTGCTGCCTTGTAGATTGTTCTTGGTTGGACAAAGGCTATGAAAGCAAATCCAAAAAGAAAAGCAGGCTGAAATTGGATTCAATTGCGCATAACCAGTTCACACATATACCTAATTGTGTTGGAGGGGATCCCTTCCAATACTAAAATTAAGAACGAAGAATAAAGATAGGGAAAAGAAACTTAATTTATTGTCAATAATTAGATGGTTATAGATGGTTAAAGAAGAGACTAAATAACAGTTGAGGTACTGGAACAAAATTTATTTTCAATAACAAGGTGGATTTTATGGAAAAGAGAAAATAACAATACATGCACTGAATATATTTGTAGTTCATGAATTTTTGTTAAAGAAAAGAGAAAATGACACTAGGTATACAGTAGGCATACAGTAGGTATGCAGTACGTATACAGTAGGGTTTACAGTAGGAATACAGAAGGTATACAGAAAATAAAATTACTTGTAGATTAGTTATCTTTGTTTTAAATTGTTTAGGAGAAGTAAAAATACAAGTTAGGTTTTGTAATTACATTTTTAAGTGGTTTAACCATTAAAGATGTATACAATTTATATGGTGAGAATGAAAATCATGTTTGCTAGTTGAAAATAGATATCAAAATCTTCTGTGTTTAAATATTAAAATCTTCCTTATTTATATATTTGCTTATCACAATATATTTTTATGCAAGGTAAATGTTTTATCAACGTATATTTTAATGTGAAGCAATAGCCTATTTAGTGAAGAAAGAAATAATATAGTTACAATGTGTGTTGTGTTCAAATAATTTCATTATTTATTTTTAGCCCTTATCCAAAAGAGGACATGAAATTTTGGGTACGTGCCCTCCTGGCAGAGACCTCTACACCGTCTGTGCCGGAGGGACTTGCAGATTACCTGAAGGATCCAGTTCTAGAAGCAGACGCGGCCAGTCTTTTGAGTTTTACTGTACTGAATCAATGGGTGAGTTTAAAAGTTCCATTCACTTATGTGATACACACTTGGTTCAATTCTTATTTATGTTCTAAAATTATATAAGATTTGTATATCTTACACATTTATTACTGAGATTCTAGTAGTTTTTGCACTATTTTATTTTTAACTCAAAAATTTCTGATTCATGCTCTAATGCAGGTTTTTAAATTAATAATTTCTTTTATTCTTTTTTGCACATTAATGTGTGACTAATTTTTTAATCAGGTGTATTTCATTAACAAACATTAACACAATTTTTCATTAACAAAATTTTTAAAATATCTGATTTATTTCAAGCTTTTTAGAATCCCTTTTACATTTTAATAGGATATGATGCCCAGCAAAGAGACTTTATCTTCTACTGAATATGAGGATCCTATGGATACAACCCTCACAGCCAAACAATTTCATTCCGCTATGGGTGCCACAGACAGTAAATCTGAGGAGAATTTGAACTGCGCTGAGAACGTGTGTACCACAGAACAGGCGGAGGTCAAACAGGATGGGGAAACAGAGAACCATAAACTTAGGGAGAATTTGGCGTCTTACAACAAAAATAAACACACGACAGACAGTGGGTTTTACAGTGTGAAGGGAGTTAACTCAGACAGCGACAGCGGTTGTGAAAACAGTACGCAATTGATGTTCCTTGTTCATGTCTTTGATGCTGTGTAAAATCTATCAAATATATTATTATTACTGATTTAAATGTTTAAAACAATTAAATTAATTAAAAAAAAAACTGTTTGAGGACTACAGATATAGATGTTTGAAAAGGAAGAATGTTTGCTTTGATGCGTCTCATTGTAATAACATAACTTTTCCGATTGCTTAAAATTTGTATAATTCTCGGTAATCCCAATTTTTTTTTCAGCTCTACTTAAAAACCCAAATTCCACCCCCCCCCCCCTTCCCCTCAACCCACCACGCACGCCGAGAAAAAAAAAAATCCCTTGAATCATCATTTAATTACACATTTGCATTTTCAGTTTCAGGTTGGTTTTTAATTTTCCCACGTTTTCTTTAACTTGCTTTCTCTGTGTGTTTGTCTTTCCAATCCAATCTTGCGATCGAAATTTCTGGCACTTCCCAGTTAGCTAGCGCGCTGAAATTTTCAGGGAAGCTTTGTTTTGGATGACAATTGAATATTCTATTGTTTTTATTACTAAATTAATCCATGGAAACATTTTATTGATCATTTTAGACCGCTATAT